GTTAAGTAACAATAGTCTGGAATGTGTATAGGGATTGGACATGTTGGGGGGGTACCCCTCAGTCTAATTTCTTGCTGGGTATAGTTAAATTTCTATACAGCCTGGTTCCTGGACTTTCAATTACAGATCAGGCGACCACTGGCAAACATCAATGGGAGTAATTGCACACAGTACCAGGAATGTCTACATGGCAGGCCTACAACTGTTAAGTGAGTTAATGGTGTTCTGGTATTTCAGTGATGGGGGAACTATTCATCAACCAAATTCCTCAAGTGATCTTTGTGGCCAAGATAGCCAGTGAGATTATTTCATCAATGCAAGGACGGTACCAGGTTAAGATGTATGGAGGCGCTGTGTGTAACGCGCGCTCCCGAAATATGGACATGGTTTACCTGTCACTGCTGTATCCTGTTCTCTGTTTAAAGTAACAGCTCCGCATGTAAATCCACTCGAAGATTTAGGAGTCGTTAATGAATCTTTCCATCAGGGGAGTTAGCCTAGACTAACGATGACAGAGACTCTTGTACTCTACGATTTAGCTTGTAATATACCCCATCGCTGGAAGTGTGTTGTTGATTTAACTGTTCTTGAGGTTATTCCTCAGAATGGGAAATCAAATTTGCCGGGTTATTTAGATTCGATTCCATTGCTAATTGGTGTCAGGAAAATGATATGAAGTTGAATCCTGTAAAATGCAAAGCCATGCAAGTTTCATCACATCGTAATTTACCACCTCCTTTTAATGTAGTTATTGACGAGACTCAGCTCCAGACGGTTTCCTCAGTTAAACTCCTTGGCATCTCTGTTTATACAAACACGCTGAAATGGGATGAACAGGTAGGGAGGGTCATTCCAACTGCTTCCAGACGGCTGTTCATATTAAGTGGGTTGAAAAAGAACGGTGTGAGTACTGATGATTTAGTGTTGATTTATAAAATGTACATTCGCCCATTTCTTGGGTTTGGAGCAGCTGTCTGGCCCTCTTCTATTACCGTGACACAATCCCAGAACATTGAGAGTGTCCAGAGACGAGCATTGAGAATAATAGCTTATCCCAACTTTTTTTCATATTCCCAGCTTTTAGAATTGTTTTCTTTGCCAAATCTTGTCTCCAGACGTGATCAATCGATTATACGTCTTGGTAGTGGTATTCCTAATTCTACTAGACATCGTCATTTACTGCCTAGTACTCATGAAGAAGTCTCTGGACGCAGGGTAAGACATTCCCATCTTTTACTAAGTCCGCGCTGTCATACTCAGCGGTACAAACGGTCAGCAGTGCCATACATGGTTAGATTAATTCATGCATGTCCTGACTTAGTGTAGTGTTATCTATTTTAAGGTTATTATTTCCGTATGATGTATTTTATTTATGGTACATGTTGGTATTTTTATGGTGTTTTTATGGAGTATATTGTATTTAGTTTGTAAATCCAACATGTTTAGTCCTTGACTAGTTGTTTGATGTAAATGTCAATTTTAAATAAGCCATCTGTGAATAAATGAATGAATAGTGGGTTTTCAAATTAACGGAACCTAAAAAAAGGGTTTGAGAAATTTTCATTAAAATACCCCCTACTTTGTTCATATGATGGAATGTTGTGAACTAGAGGGTTCATTTTTTGACGTGGCGATTGCCATTTGGACTGCGTTTTAGGTTCATTCATTCTTGAAGAGAAATGCGATTCAATTTTAACGCATTATCCATCTCAAAAGGGAACAAAATATGCACATTAGGCCCTACCTGTTTCTGCTCTGTGCTTTCTGTCCTGTGCATCGTCGTCAAGGGTCTAATTTTCACGGGTGAAGACCGGGTCGGAGGAGTCGACTTTCTTAGGCGCCTTGGCGAAATGTCGCCGCGGTTTGGCCGATGTGCCCACCGCAGTTTGACCAGGTTGTCAAGGGGCCGTCCAAAACGCGATTTTACCGCACCGAAATCATTCAGGCAAAACGAGTTAATCAGGTAGGCGTGGCAAAACGGAGCTTGTTAATACAAACCTGAATTATGCATTGTGTACTGTGGATTAGCCGCGGTGACCGCAGTGGTTGGTTGAGAGGCCTGAAGCGAACAGAGGGAAACGACATTGATGCAAGACACACAAAATTTATTCCTTTCTGCAGAAGATTTTGCACATATCACATAAACTAAGTTAACCGTCTATTCTTAATGAGAAATATCGCTTATCGATAATTACAGCATTTATGAATTACCATATCAAACGATTTCGATCGGAGAATTGAATGCGCCCTTATCGATATATTGATGAATTACTGATGCCTCGACCTGAAAAACGAATGGATGTTCTTATCATACACTCATCATACCGTAGGGTATTGACAATGCCACCAATATAGGTATATTTACAAGAAAACAACCTAGATGACAAATTTACTATTATATAAAAACATGAAGATTATGATACATATTTAAATGATATGATTGACATCTATCAATTATGAAATCAAATTTTGAACGACGGGAAAGATTTTCACTTAAAGTGGAATTATTTACATTTTTAATAACGTCTTATTGCCAACATCGTTCGGGTTTCACACTCTCCTGAAGCTTATGAGAACTCCTTAAACATTTGTCAACTTT